GTTTTTAGAGCATCTGGTTATCTGCTGTGTCCACCACGGGGAATCGAACCCTGAATTTTAACATTGTAAGTCTATAGACTTATCGCTGTCCCACCGGGGACATAGTGTTAGGAAACTTTATATTATAGGTCGCATAATGTTAATCACTTCGAGTTAATTTTGGATTTTTCGTGAGTATATGTTTTTGGTTTCAAAAGACTTAAAAATTCCTTGCATAAGTTTAAAGAAAATTATTACACTTAGTGAAGTGAAACTTCAGATTTTCTTATAGAGTTTCCGAGTTCTCTCATCCACATTGTGTTCACACTTCGCGTCACAATCACTTTAAGATAACGAATACAATCAACAAATAGCATTGGAACAAGCAATAAATAGCATTGGAACAATCAATATATATGTAGCTTAAACATATCACTCGCTTCGTCAATCCATATAACTCGCAATAGAGAAAGCAGCGCAAGCGGGTGTTCTTAAACATAAAAAACAAACAGAAAAATCATGAAGGTTGATATTCCACGTAAGTTTCGGCTGCCGAATTGCCATAGTGATAGCAATTACAAATCAAAGAGGGCGTGTTAGCAATAGAGGAAACCCATATTAATGTAACTCTCCACCGGTACAACATTATGTGTATTACACATTACGTTATTGAAATAGCCTTTGTAAAACTATAGTGATGAAATATAACAATTGTACAGCTATATATACAAACAGTGCATTTTGTGTTCAGCCCTGTTGTTTTTAGATTTCATCAACTCTTGGTCTTGTAGACTCACCAGTATAAATACATAAATATTTATAAGTATATCCACATTCCGTGTATTGATAATTTATTTAATTTAACTCTCAGGAACAGACAGCTAGTGTTCTTATGTATTTTCTAATTAATGACCTGTACCATTTTTTTTTCTATATACCTACGTTCCTTGCACCTTAATGGTTATAATGTTTACAATAATTTCTAATATTGTATAATTACGAAGTTTATTTTGTATTGTTGACTTAATATACGGATTTAGGACTAATCTAAATATTGTAAGTTGGTTGAACGTCTTGAGATTTTATTAAGTTTAAGGATGAAAATATCGTTAAGAGAGAGGGTACCCAGGTGATGATTGAATGCGGTTTAGTAATGTTTGGTTTTAGTTTTCTCGTGAACTGTGTTGCGGCATTAAGTACTCCTAGTCAGTTTGCTATATAGGGTTGACTTCATTAGTTAATTTGCAAGTTACTTTTTCAGTTGTGATCTACACAGTTAAGTTTCTTTTCATCAGAATGCCTTACTAATGAAATGAATTATTTCTCAAGCTGGTATTTAACTTTATTAGCAACAGCGTAGGAAACAATAAGTAAAATGTAAAGAACGGTAACTATGGATCATTAAGTAATTTATATCTGGTGTTTTTTGTATACAGTTTATATATGTTTATTATGTGCTTGCTGTACTTTGTATGTAGATGATCCCCTTCCCCCAGAAAAAAAGAAGCCCAGTATATACTTTAGAACTATTTTGGATACGTGATGGGCCTTAACAAGATTGATGTAATTTTTCGTAAAACAATGTTCAAGTGAAGAGCTTAAAATGTTTGGGTAAATAACATCAACAACTTTTTTTATTGACACACCAGACAAAATTAAATTTAAAACACGAAAGGTTGGAACAATTTCATTAAAACCAGGAGGTTAAAAAACAGCCATGCGTCTCGACACAGTAACAACTATGGAAAACATTAGAATGTGTCGAAACAAATGAGCAGATTTTTAACCACCTGGTTTTAATGAAATTGTTTTATCCTTTTGCGTTTTAAACTTAATGTGTCAGTATAAAAGGTTGTTAATGCTTAAGTGAGTTGGAGTTTAAATAAAAGTATTTTTAAAGAAAGCGACACATTTCTTTTTGTTTGAGAATAAAACTTATAATAAAAAATGTCTGTAACCGTAAAAGACATAAACCTTGATGACTGAAATAACTTGTAATCTTTACTAATTCATTAAGCTTTTCAGTAACGACTATTTATGGTTTTTGGAAGAAAAACAAGTAAATAACTGAGCAAAAACAGCTGCAATCACTTGGCAACCACAAAACAAACACTCCTAAAATTTTCAAATTAGAACTTAATTTAGGCGACACACAATCATTCTTGTTCCTTTTCATTAGTTGCTAGCTTACCTTACGACGATTGAAATCAATATTTGTTCTGAGCAAACGACGGTGCATGGCTTGTGTTGGCCTAAAATTGTTGACTAGGGGCGCTTTTGGGTTTTCCTGTTCTCCTTGCATCAGCTGTCTAAGCGCGTAGAGCTGTTAATTAGAAATTAGCGTATTAAAAAGAAAGAAACACAGCACATTTTAAAGCCAGAATTTTATAAAATTAAAAGGAAAACAAAATATCCTAACGGATATATATAAGCTCTTTATCTGATTTGCACAGTAGCCGTTAGCCAAAAAAGAATTTTGTGTTACTCCCCTTGTAAATGAGGTGCCATCGATTGAAAAGAAATGAAATAACATTTCCTGTTTCCAAACTCTCTGCCTGGAATAGAAATGTTTTAAATTCATGCAGATATCGCTCTTTTTTCTTCTAACTTAGTTAGGCATCCAGTAAACTATATAACTACATTGCGTAATCTCGAAATTTGCTGGAAATCACAATGTTTTTGAGAATAGTACAGTTGAATAAAGAAGTGGATTTTAGTTTCTTTTGAACTCTGTTCTGCTAGATTGATTTATGTTCCTCTCTATTAGGATTTAAGATAATGATAGGAGCATCCATGAATGAAAACAAGAAAATGGTCTTTTTTATTTCGTCTTTAATGAGCCAGAGTGACTTGTGTGGAATAAAATGTCACGTCTTTAAGTATTTGGAGCATCATACAAGCGAAGGGTGTAGAATGGTTAGAACCTCTTGAAGGATTTTTTAAAAGAAGCTATATGCATGCGTTATTTCCCAAAGGTAAATACCCAAAGAAATTCTTTGGTGTGTAAAATTTTAAATAAAAACTGGCTTTATGCAAACTTTAACTTCGGGTCCACGTGTTGAGGATAAGTGGATCCATAAAAACGATATTCTATACATGTCTCGGGCTATACCACCACATTTCTTTGTTTGCTGTGTTCCTACATTTCATTTGAATTGATTTCTAGGTGACGACGAGTTACCCATAGTTATTGTAATTGATGATATGACTAGCTACACAATTTCTTGCATCATTTTACATAGATTATTAAAAAATCGTCAATCGACAGAGCCTCGTATTTATTTCACTTAACATTCCGCCTTCCCTATCGATTAAAATGTATTCAACACATTGAAAATAGCAAAGCTAAGATCTTTAAAAACGCAATGTTTCCTACTATTTAAATAATCTAGGAAACATATTTAAGGAATTTTAAAAATGTAATCCTTATGTATAGAACACTCAAGTACTATTTTATGTTTACCTGATCGTATCGCAGACATTTCGCTACCAAACAATCATATCATGTAGAAGGTAATGTATAAAAATAGTTTTAGTCTATCAAACAGAGAATTAATTGATTAATAAGATTATGTTCATGGTATTTTTCTGACCTTCTAATATTCTGTTCTACGCTAAAATGGAATACTTTCTAAACATGTTTGAGACGTATGTGTGTCATATTACTTCTTACTAAGGCTGATGGTAACTTAAAACACCATTCTTGATAAACTATCATATTGAGAGAAAAGCTTTGTTAGCAGCGACGTAGAAGGCATAAGAGTATACAGATTAGCAAGACACGTGACAACCACAGTTGATATAAAGTCGCGGTAGAACGACATGCATCAGAACTACATTTTGACATTGGTTAGGGTTACGTAGGTAGCGTGATGCCACCAAAAACTGATCACTATTGGGAAGAGTATGTGGCAGTCCTTTTCAACGCATTCTATTCATACACTCAGATCAAGAAGATCTGGTCATGTCGGGGATTTAGAATTTTCAAGACGGACGTATGTCACTTGTACTTAATAAGACTGTTAGGAGTATGGATCAACTTGGGGATCCAAAATCAAGTCATAAACCAGCCGTGGTAAGAAAACTGCGGCGTTTTATAACAGATAATCAACGGACACAAATATCAGTGGCAAAAGGTGCCTCTTGCAATAGCACGCAACATAACTAAAAAGTATCTCTATCTGAAATTGAGGTCAACAGGGTATGGTTTTACAGAGATGATACTCCCAGTCATACTTCCCGTTCGAACGTCACATACTTTAAGCGGAGAATGAAACGAATATTTATGCAATTCCATACGAAGACTTACTGGTCAATTCACCGGACGCAGCGCCTATGGATTTCTTTGCGGTTGGACTATTGAAACGGGTGCTCGGAAAACCGTCGTCCTCGTACACAAGATGGCTTATGAAAAAATAGCAGGTAGGAGTGGTTGGTGTGCCTTTTGACATGACAGCCTTAAGATGGAAACTACGCTGCAAGACTGTTGTCAAGATGCATGATCGTCAGACAAAACATGACCGGACATGACTTAACCTGTGTAGTTGAAATTCTATAATAGTGCAGTAAATAATGATGTGACTTAAATTATTATTAGCAGTCTTACTGTAACGTAGTGTTACACATATGTTGTTACTAAATATTATGCTTCTTTTGTTTAGACGCCTTAAACACTATGCTTGAGACATAAATTAATAATTTGCCGTTTGAATTCTAAAAGTTACTACCAAAGCTAATAACTAAAGGAAAAAAAAAGAAAAATAAGAGTGAGTGTAAACATGTATAGAGACTGCTCTAAGAGTCAACGATTTGGATCAAATAGAAAAAACAAGAACTGGCTAACTATTGAGGATATTCAAAATATCCAAAATAACATTCAAGTGAATATTAAAAATGCGCTTAAAAAAGGAGACATACAATACAAATTAATGTGTCCACAAATATAAAAATAAGATGAATATATTGTTTAATATTACTTGCTGTGTTTAAAAATGCAAAACAAAATAAATGAAATTTGAATTCTTACGTAAACAAGTCATTATTTCAGTCCTTATTTTCAATTGTTCTCGGAAGATTGTTTAAAATAGGGCGAAACTTGAGTTTTGGACAGAATTTAAAGTCCATAGTTTTATTTAGGTATTGTTAGCCTTTAATTTCTTACCTTGGCATTTGTTTATGATACAATGACTGTTGATTGCGTAATAATTTTGAACTATAATGTCGCCACTTTGCTGTAGGAGACATACCTGTTGTCTAGTTATATAAAGTGGTTTGTTCATCACAAGCCACGTAACAGTCTCGTGACATCCGGGCATTGTTAATGAGCCTTCGTACGTAGTATAGAAATGAGTATCAGGAAGCAGTTCCTGCACCGAGAGCGATTTTAGAATAGCCTGTTGTCCTGGAAGAGAAATTACGATAAACAAAGAACATACTCAATATAAAAACATGTAAGTTAAATAAATCATACCATTTTGATGGTCTTTAACAAAACACCAACCCCTCCACCCCCGCCCCTTTACACACACACACACACATAAATATATTATTGTAATTCTCTGTTGTACCTAACATGTATTTCTATGTTTAGGTGATTAGTTTGATAAAAACAAAACAAACTGAAATTTAGCACTTAGGCAAATGACTAAACTGATTTACTTTAAAATTGGCATGGGCATGCCCCAAATCGTTTATAATAAGATTTTACGTTTAAAACTGTAGACTTTTCATATTTGGACCCCAAATAAGAGATTAAGGGGATTCCACGAATTCGCTTGAAAATTGGCAAAAACGTGTAAAATGATTATTTAAATCAAGGTCTGGAATAAGGTTTATGGTTTAGTTGTTGTACTCGGAATTATAACGATTCATTTACTAATGCATATCTAATATATCATTTTACACAAAAGCTAAAAACCTTATATATTTTTTTATTTCTTTCTGGTTTCGCATCTTCAGGTGCTCTTCATGGTAAAACCATAAAATGTAAAAACCAGAACAACAACAACAACACACACACATACATACATATATATATATATATCTTCAAATGTGTATAACGGTAAGATATCTGTTAATTCTCTGTTTTTAACACAGAGTACGATTCACATGTAAAATCATCCATATGGTAATTAAAGGGCATATATAACATTGTGATGTATGAATGATATTAAAGTTATTATACGTAGATATATATTTATGCTTCACAAGATTAGTATATGATTGCATTATTAGCCACGAAGTTTATACAACAGCAGCTTTTTATTTGTACATAATTTAATAACCGATTAATAGCAGTGTTCACTAGTTCAGTAATTTTGACACGTGTTATACTAAACAAACAGACATAAACAGTAATTTATGATACCTGCACAGGAATTTAACCACCATGGGCGTAGCAATGCTCAGAAAAGTAGAAACGACTAACTTCGTTCTGAAATTATCCGAGGCTGTGAATTGAAAGTAACAATTACTTCATGATGCTTTCTCGATTTTGTATTTGTATGTTAGTTTGTAGTTGAGCACAAAGCTACCAAATGGGCTATCTGTGCTGTGCCCACTATAGGTATCGAAATCTGGTTTCTATCGTTATAAGTCCGCAGACTTACCGCTGTGCTACTGAAGCAAGTCGAACACCATAATAAAGAATTTTTAAATGACAGAATATGACTACTTAACCAAAGAAGAAACAGTGGAGAGCGTGGCTAACTTTGTGAGTTGCTCGTGAAACGACTTCAGTTAAATTTTAATTATTTTCAACTTTGAAGAATTATTCTTAGCAGATGCAACGCTCAATGGAGCTATAAATAACACCCTGAGAGCAATGCACACATATACTGTTGCTAAATTATATTTTTAAATAAAGCGCAGTGTTCCAAAAGCGTTAAATATCTGTGAAAATCGTAGCCAGACTTTTAAAGTTTAACTGCATAGTCAATTTCATCAACATCTGAGTTAGCTCTTTCAGTGCTGAATGGTGGTATCTAAATTGGTTTGGTTTGTTTTGAATTTTGCGTAAAGCTACACGAGGGATATCTGTGTTAGCGTCCCTAATTTAGCAGTTAAAGACTAGAGGGAAGGCAACTAGTCATCACCACCCATCACCAACTCTTGGGCTACTCTTTTACCAGCGAATAGTGGGATTGACCGTCACCTTATAACGTCCCCACGGCTGAAAGGGCGAGCATGTTCAGTGTGACGAGGATTTGAACCCGCGACCCTCAGATTGCGAGTCGAGCGCCCTAACCACCTGGCCATGCTGGGCGCAGGTATTTAAATCGATGTACTGTTTTACTAGTTCATGGTATTCTATATAATTGACATGTAATCATAGAGCAACTAAAATCTACCTTTTAATATCGTTAAAACACAGTTATCACAACGTTAAAAAATTATTTTTCAATTCGTTTTTCACGAACAACCGGTTCATCCTTTGGTTTAACATCATTCACCACTGATTCTGAAATAACTGATAATTCTTATGCCAGTTCTTTAGTGCTTTCGAACCCGATTTGTTTTATATTGAAGAAGGGTTTGTCGAGTGCAATTGTCTAAATTATTGGCAATATTAGTTCTCTTTGCTTAGTTTTGAATTTGCTTGCTGACTAGATTTATTTATGCAAACACATACGAAAGACATGTGAAATGTGCATGTTGCTAGTTCATCTACTAAAGATGCAGCTTCATAATTGGCTGCAGTATCCATTCTTGTCCAAAGAATGACAGCCACAAGAAGTGAAAAATGTCATTTTGTTTAATTCCACCTGTCTAGATTACGTCTGGTATCATATCTCTGACCTCGACAATCTTCGAACGGTATTCCACGTTTCGTAAGGTCTTCAAGAATGATCTCTGATAAAACAGAGCTTATGGCCTCCGAGACGTTAATGAAGGAAATAAGACAGTTTTCAACACTAACCCCATTCCATGATAGCTTACATCAGGGGTACAGTTCATCATTACAGAATAGTACTTCATTAACTGCAATGATGATTACTTTTGAGAGCATCTTTACTAGTTCTTTCTGGACTTCATTGATTAATAGCTCAAATTTTGACACGAATCTTTTTGAGCTAAAAATATATTTTCATTTTCGGATGTGATTCAACCTATCAATAGTTCTGTAAAACGTTTGATTTATTTCTGCCAAGTGCACAATCATTGAAATATTATATTAAATAAATATGCAATTTAGAGTATAATATGTACTGCCTACTGTAGAATTCGTTTTCGACATGTATATTAAACATGGTAATGATACAAATATTTTATATTAAACATACCGTATATTCTAACTGTAAAAATAACTTAAAACTCACGACAGCCCTGGTTGCATATTACATAATAATGTAATATTAATGTAATGTAATGTAATATTAATGTAATATTACATAATAGTGCCTGTAACAAAGTTTAATGTCTCAATTTTAGGGAAAAAAGAAATGTTTTAGGAGTAATTTAAGTGAACTCATTCTTCTACAAACAGTACATTTAAAGATGTTTAAGATGTATAATGCTTTCCTTCTTTTTTCTATACGTAGAGTCTACTGGTGGGTTCGATTTCCCGCGATGGTAAAGTGCAGATAGCTCATTGTGAAGCTTTGCACTGCAACAATAATTATAAGTAAATGTATATAGAAACCAGCACATATTCCACTTTCAATTAGTCCTCAAAAGTGTCTAAATTTTTTTTTAACAGATGTTGGATAAGTGACTTACGAAATTAGGCTGGATTAAAAACATACTGTGAAATGATAATAATTATTTTTTTTAGTAAATATGTACCCGATCCATTTCCGATGGAAATTTACGTAAGTAAAAAGTAGACTTTTTTTTTTCAACTGCTAAGCGCAAAAGGTGGACAACGGACTATTTGCTTTGTTTCCACCCCATGTGCCTTGGCTGTTTCGGTGAAAATATGAATTTTCTGAAAATGTAAAAAGTGCTTTTTTTGACGCAAAATTAATAGAAAAATATCGGATAGTGCTTATTTCGTCGGAAAACTCAAAATTGAGACATTATAGCATTGACGAAAATATTATGTCCCGTGAAAAGTGGCCCGACATGGCCAGGTGGTTAGGGCGCTCGACTAGCAACCGCGAGTCGCAGGTTCGAATCCCCGTCCTACGAAATATGCTCGCCCTATATAACGCTGTGGGGGCGTTATATAGGTACGGTCGATCCCACTATTTGTTGATAAAAGAGTAGCCCACGAGTTGGCGGTGGGTGGTGATGACTAGGTGCCTTCCATCTTGTCTTACACTGACAAATTAGGGATGGCTAGCGCAGATAGCCCTCGTGTAGCTTTACGCGAAATTCAAAACAAACAAACAATCCACCCCAGTGAGTAAAAATATAATACACAAATTATTTTATGTTTTTATCAAGTTTCTTTACTTCGACTCAGTGTTATAGCTATGTTAAAAAGGTTTAATTGTCAGAACTATACATCCCAATGACTTTGTAGTTATTTTTTTGGTGATTTCTAACATCAAATAATGCAACGTATCGTCTTTCTTATGAGACTCTGATGCTATATTTTCATTTTTTATTATCTATCTTTACATTTAGAAGTTTGAATTATTCGTTCTCTATAAAAAGTCATAATTATGAGGTTAGAAAAATATGTTTGTAATAAATATATTTCATAATTATTTTTGCAACATGAATAAAATATCACTTAACATTTTTTGTATTGGAATAAATTGTTGGCTTGAAGACAACGACTGAACTTACGTTTTCTGGCATAAGTCGAATATTTTTTTTTACATAAATTGCGAAATCATAGCTTTTATAAAAACAACTGTATGTTACAGTAAAAATATATTTCAAACTGACGCTGAAAAATTCCATGTTTTGATCTAATTTTATTTTTTGTGTAAAGATGGAAAGTCTGTTGACTTTTTTATCATATTACAACAAAGAGTGTTTAAAACTTGCTTATTTTAGATATTTTTCCTTTGTGCTATACAGAATCAAGTCTTGTTTGGTACTAAGCACAAATCTACACAGTGGAATCTATCTGTGCAGTGGCCACCTCAAGTATCTAAATCCAACTTTTGGCTTTATAAGCCCTCAACTGAGCCACTGGTTGTGGGAGCGGGGGAATAACAATCAAGACTTTCAGGTGAGTGAAAGTAATGTTTAAAACATCAAATCTGATACTTTTCAAAATAAAATAAAAACCTTTGAAAATAAGGCCTCAGAAACCATAATAGTTGATAGAAAACTTTTTTCTAGAAAATAATCTTGAATTATTGGCCATAAAAAAGATAGTTTGCTTTGTTGTTAAGCACAAAGCTACAGAATGGGCTATCTATGCTGTGTTCACCATGGGTATCGAAGCTCGGATTTTAACGTTGAGACTTACCGCTGAGCCTCTGGGAGCAAAAGAGAAAGAAT